AGGAGAGGAGAGGAGAGGAGAGGAGAGGAGAGGAGAGGAGAGGAGAGGAGAGGAGAGGAAAAATACATAAGGTGAATGACTAAACTTCATATAGTTAAGAGTAGAAATACATAACTAAAATAGAACATTGTTATTCATCACAGCATAATAAAATCAGTCAATCTCAAATGAAGCATTACTCATATGATACAGTATATGATAAATTTTAACATACATATTTCCTTTACCACATTTTAACTAAATGTTCACTTTTAGCAACTGAATAAATCATCAGATAACTTATTTTTAAACTATAAATGTTAGCAAAATATACTCTCTAGAATAGTTTATTTGAAACAGGAGACCAGCTACTGAACATTTTCTGGAGAAACATTTTAGAGCTTCCAATTTCAGAAATCAGATAAACTTAGATTTTGAGATCTATTATTTGAGGTATTATTGCTTTTCTTTATGGCTAATAGTAAAACCTGCAGTCTTATCCTTCAGCTCCATGAAAAATAATAGAGAGATTAAGAAAATGGAGCACTACAAAGCAAGTGCCCCAGAAATGAGAGAGGAGGAAGAATTTATATTGTAAAATTGTCAGGGATATCATCCAAAATCCCAGATTTTGGAATTTTAGAGTGGGCTTCTTTTTCCTAATTTTAACCATATAAAAGTTAAATCCTAAGGTAAGCCAATTGAGAATTGATTCTATTGTCAATGAAGAGACACATACATATTGAAAAAAGATATAACCTACTTGAATTTTATTCCATTATTATATGAATTTGGTCCTCAAGCAATCAAACTTTTTTTTGTTAAAGAAGGTTGGCTAGATGCATAGCTTAAGCTTTAATTAAACAAACAGCTCAAACTAGCTCTCTAACTTTTAAATAAAGTCAATTGAAAGATGCTGTACTTACAGGTGAAATAACTGAAGAAGATCAAGTGAGATGGTTTTCCTAAAGAAATAATAGAGAAATGAAAATAAGCAAATAATCAAAAAACCACTGTGTTGTTACCATCACTTTGTCCTGATCATTAATATCTATGCTATAAGCAAATATTCCCTTTAAGGTATAAAAATAAAAAAGAAATGTGAATATCTTTGTCTGTTTTTAGTAAATTTAATACTATATTTTAATATTGGTCATTAACAGAAATATTAACTGAATAATCAAGCTTACTAACATATTTAGGTTTCTTTTTCACATGCCTCCCTTTGTAGTAAAAAGACTAAAAATATAATTAAATTAATACAACTAAATTAAATTTGCCCATTTTTCCCAAAGATTTAATACTTAAAAAATAGAACTGATATTTAGTACTTAGTTACTTCAGATAGACCATGTTTATATACAAAGTATTTCTATCATACTACAGTGGATTTCACTGCTTGCTGAATAGTCAGTCTCCATTTCAGACTAATCCAGAACAGACATTTGATACATCTGGCTGATTTCTGCAGTCAAATTAAGTGTTGCAGGTTCATGACAGGGCCACTTGGGATCTGTGCATGGAAATAAAAATCAGTTCAACAAATCTGCACAAGCATGCAACTCTGCTTTATTTCCTTTTGCAGTAGAAACCGTTGTAGAGTCCTGTAGTGCTGAGCAATTGATATTTTATATAGATTTATAGTCTGGACTTGGAATCATATAGTCATAGGATATGCTGAGTTGAAAGGGACTCATCAGGGTAATCAGGTCCAACTCCTGGATCAGCACAGGATAACACATGAATCTCACCAGACCTCCTGGACTCTGTCAGGCTTGCTGCTGTGACCACTCTCCTGGGGAGGTTTGTAAAGACACACTAGCAGATTATTGACTATGGAAAACAGAGCAGGAATGACTGTTGAGAAGTTTCCTCCTTTATTTCCTGTTTCCTCAATTTCAGAGACTAGCACTGAGCACGAATCTTAACTTCTCTCATTTTTTGTATCTGCCTTCGTATTTGATTTCCTTAAAACTGAGAAGCCTGAAAGACTTTTTAAAAATTACAGAGAAAATGTTAAAACATAAACCGGAAGTAGATCGTGGTAACTGGGCATCACAACTCTAACCTTAACCAGAGAGAATTACAGTGAACATTCAGGACATACCAGCTCTAAATACAAGTCCTTGACAACTTCTGAGATTTGAATCTCTCTCAATGTAAATATTGAATCTGTAAAAAGAGGGAAAGTAAAAGCATCAAATTTAGTCAATTAACTTTAAAAACCTCCAACAAACCGTAACAAGGCATATGGAAGCATTTCTGAGAAACACCTAGCTGAAGAAATAAAACTTAAGATTTAGATTTGCTCAGGAGCATGAGAAGCAGTGTGCTCATCAGTCAGCAATCAATACACAAGAGAAGAGCTCAAGAGGGATAACAGCAGGAAAGCTACACAGATCTACAAAGGTGTTCCTAATACTGAGAAGAAATGATTTCTACATCATCGATGTTCCATGCAAAATCATCCTTATTTTTGTGTGAATACAACAGCTTTCAAAACAATGTTATTTAAAAAAATGTTTCTATGAAATGGAAAAATTCATTTTTTCAGAGTTTTAAACAGTTCCATAAAGTGTATTTTGTAAGCATTTAGAGTGGGGTCAGAAACAGCTGTTTGTGCATTTCTTGTTTTTTCCAGGTTTCGATAGAACAAAATATGAGAGATTTTGATTACTATGTATTCACTCACACAAAGGAATTACAATTATGAAAAGGAAAATGCCATAAGAACTAGTCATGGCTCATTTAGTATAACCATTGCCCCAATATGAGGAAGTGTATTTGTTTTAATTGTTAATGGAATAAATATTCACTTGACGAAAAAATTAGAATATAGAGAAGTGACTCAAAGCATAGTAAAAGTTAGAAAACAGGTAATATTAGAGCCCAGGGCTTCTAATCTCCTAGTCTAATTCCCAGTCACTTTTCTACTGAGAGTCACTGTTCTCATTTCAGAGAGATTTAGGTAAGTGTCTCTCTGTCCCCAGAAATGGAAAAAAAAAAAAAGTATGAGTTTCAAGAATCTCATAAACACAATGGAAGTAAATTTGAAGAGGAAAAAAAAGACTGTACAATTATAGGGTTAAGTCAAGAACCAAAATCAAACCAAACCAAACCCAAACCAAAAAGCATTAATAGTCTACTCAGAGTAATGTCTGTTGTCTTTGAAAATATTGTGCAGAAAACTTAGAGGACATTCCAAGGGAGTGATTTATTGGTCATGTGTACATATTGAGTGAACCCAAGTGTTTTCCTTTCAAGCACAAGCCATGACTTCTGTCTACTGCAATTCCTCAGGTTTTTCCTCAGGTTACTTTTGGCTTATATGAAAATTTACCATATCTGTGGCTATAAAAAAAATGGTCTCATCATGTTTAGTTTCTAAGCAAGAAAGTTTTGTTACTTCAAACTACCCTTAACCCTGAAGAATGCCTTCTCTGTTGCTTCAATGGACAACTTGTGAACTGAAGCTTTCCTAGTTCCCATGACAATACATCGCTTTGTTACCTGCTACTCTAGCAACTTCCTTGCAAGCAATCTGCAAAGCCCAGACCACAACTGAGTTTTTAACTCCCTGGCAGATGTGATCACAGAATTATTTTGTTATAATTTTAGGACATCATGGTACTTTGAATAGATATACTGGGAAAAGAGTACCTGAAAATACACATATGTATCAGACTGCATAATTATTCAGAAGTAGCCAAAATTCAGTCTCTAATTTAATCCACTATTAAATACAGTCATTGCATCTTTTTTATACTCAGTTATTAAGCATCCCAAAAGCCTGAAAAAATAGGACTATGGAAAGAACAAAATAAATCTGAACTTTTGTAGCTTCTGATTCTTTTTTCATTAGAGCACTTGCCTTAATCTTTTTACATTGTATTTCTTCACCATGTGACCAGCTACAATAGTTGGAAATATTTTAATTTTTCAAGTAAATGGAAATCAAGCATATTTTTTGTCTAACTGTGTCTCTGATAGACTACAGGCACACTCCCTTATTTGTTTCAACTTTTCTAGGACATCCTGTCCTTGTGCCATTTTCACTCTTTGTCCATGAAGGTACTAAGAGCATCTCTTAAATGTCTTTGAACAAGGACTTATCAGAGGCTGCTGTTGGGATTTTCCACTTCTCTTTACAAATCTCTGCTTTTCAATGACACCAACATCACTAGAGAGCTGGTGTGTGCCCCAGGAGCTTTCATCCCATGCTAGGGAAGTAGACAGAGGGATGCACTGGGTACAGACCTGCTCCTCCCTGCTGAGCTACATCCTAGTACAATTACTGTTTTACTAGAATTCCCCTAATTTAAAGACTGCATGTCCAGTCTGCTCCAGGACTTCCCCAGGCAGAAGGGATAAGTCTCACTTTTAAAAAGAGCAAAGGCCAAATGAGACTACTCCCACTCGTCCACATGATGTTCAGAGAGGTTGTTGAGATTCCATCATTGAAGATATCTGAACCCTGATTGTACCCAGCCTCGGGAAATCTGGCATAGGTAACCCTGCTTGAGCAGGGGCTTGTACTGCACAATCAACACAGATCCCTTCCCATGTCAGCCATTCAGTCACTGAGTTCTGTGATTCTCTGTGAAAGACCTTTGATAAGCATAGTCCATTGGCCAGAAAATTATTATGGAGGGGTTTCATTCAACTCCCATTGCATTTCCAGCAACTACACTGGCATCTGGCTCAGACCCAGTGGCAGCATGCTATCAATGCCAAGTTCTACAGAAATTTTGAAGCCACAAAAAGCCTGGATTTCATGGGTTCTGGTACCATAAAGAAAAACAAATGTAGAGGATGGAAAATGGGCAAAGCTGTAAGTGGAATATACAGTGCAGTGTGGTGACAAGTATAGTTTGTATAGATCAAACTATACTTGAGATCAGCTCACTGGAGCCCTAGAGCCAAGAGGAAACAGAGAGAATAGGACAAGTACTAAGTGTATTTGAATTGCTTTAACATATATGGAAGACTAAAGGAGAAGAAGAAATTTTTTTAAATGGGAAAAAAACCATTATTTTAATATAACTAATTATTTCCATGAAATAGGAGATAAAATATAATCTATTCATAGAGAGGCATGTCCATTACCTTATATTTTAAAAAATACTAATGAATATGAATTTTACACATTCCAAATGTTTATTTAATGAAAATGAAGCATGTGATGCATTAAGGGACGATTATATAAAAATAGCAGCACATTATGATGCAGTAAAAAGGCAGAATCTTCATAGCTGATTTCATTTATATTTTATGTATAAAAACCCAGCATAAAAACATTATTAATCTGACTGTAACTAAATCAAAGTTATGCAAAGTGATTATGCTTTCTCATCTTTTAAAAATTTACTCTCTTACGCTATGAAAATAATTTCTGCAGGTGAGATATTAGGCTGCAAATTAAATATGGCTGCTCTGTTGCTTTATCAGATTCACTCTTTGGCAAAGGGAGAAATTTTATGGCAACTTGAGCTTCTGCTAACTGCTAGCAGAAATCTCTGAGCTGATGTCCTATGAAAGCACTAACTCCTAACCTGGTACTTGTCTAAATGTAGAGCTTCTGCTCCCACCATGACTCATAGATGGACGAAGTCCCAAGATTTACAGTTCAGCCTTTCACAGTGCCTGACAGGGAACTACGCACAGATGTCAGGTCAGTCAAAGCATGGCCATACCTATGCCTTGCCTTAGCAAGGGACTTCTTAAAAAAACCAAGAAAACAAACATGAAAGAGGCTATAAACTATATAAACTACCAGGTCTGGCAACATTACTCAAACTCTCTCCACTCTAAATGCTCTATCTCAGAAAGACTGCACAGCCCCATGAAAAAGTTCCCACTCTGACCCCAAATTAAACAGTAATTATAACAGAAGGGCAGTAAATGAGCCCTGTCCCCTAGGTTTTTCCACCTCTAATGCCATTGATTCTTCTACATATATTTTTTATATAATATGTATGTTGCTAATTAAGTGTCCATGAAACAGATGTACAAGGGAAGGTTACTATACTGTGCCTGCTCAGGGTGTCTTTAGACTGTGATGCCCTGCTGATGCAGGGATTATGTTGTTTGTATGGCACTCTAAATTACTGTGGATGCTTACAGGGTTTAGACAGAATAATGGACTGCATTACTTTCATTATTAGGTGATGATGTTTTTCTAAATTAAGTAGCACCAACAAAAATATTTTCCCCCTGTTCTGTGTGAAGCATGTTTAAAGAGATATAGCATGCAATCATGATCAGATGCATATCCTGCAAATAGAAAAGTGACAAGAGTTACTCTCCCCATACCATATGTAACACAAGAAGAGACACAAACTTTTCTATTTGTTGGTGCTTATGACAAAGAAGCAGAGATGAACCTGTCTCCTGTGTGTTCACTGGGCAACATCATCTCTATGTAATAACTCTGACTGTCATAATGGTGTATGTGTCAAATTCAGTTACATGCACCCAGGGATGTGGTTTGCAAGAAGCATCAAAACCACCACTACTTCATTGTTCAAAAATAGCTGCTCTTGGACCTTTGATGGCTAAAAATTCTGATGTCACTGAGTGAAATAGAAACAAGGTAAGAAAGCAGCTACTTTTAGAAGTAACATTTATGCTTGACTAAAGGCGTTGGGGACATAATCTAACTGGTTAGCTGATGAGAGACCCTACAGGGGTTTTCTATGAAAGCAGGAAAACAGCATTAAACTGACATTTACTCAGCAAGCCACCAACCAGAAGTGCTTGGGGGACCCCCTACACTGAAGCTAAATGCCAGAGCTGTATAATGATTAGACTTTGATGGATCCCACTGACATCCCAAAGGCTGTTCTGTTTCTATTTTTTATTTCTTTCATCTGATCTTCATCCATAATTTGACAAACTATTTTTAAGTGTCTATTTTCCTTGTGATTTATATATTCCAGGCTCACCAAATTAATTCAATACTTCATCCAATCACTAACTACACTTTAGCTGTTAAAGTGATGCTGTATTCCCAAACCCATCATGTTTAGTCATGATGGAATCTGATCACTTTAAAAGCAGTGACAGACCTACCCCTACAGCCAAGATCCCCCCAATTTGTCCTGTAGTGACATTCTACTATTCATGTCTTCTACATTAAGCTCCAGAGACTGAAAAAGTAAGAAAGAAGGGGG